GCCCCGTGTGTCACAGGGGTTTGTGCACCATCTCAACCCCCAGTGTTTGGAGGATGGGACTCTGTGAGATGCCAGTTACCTGATCCCCTGCCTCCTCCGCCAGAGAAACCAAAAGGGACAAGATAGCCACGAGGCTTGGCCTTTGCAACTGGCTGCACATGGCTTTGGCCATGCGGGGAGTGAAGCCATGAGGCCATGTCAGTCCAAGATCACGCCCAGGGGCAGAGGTGGTCGCAAGGTTCCGGGCAGCAGTGTGTGGTGTGGCCTGGTTATGCGCTCAGCTACTGGCCCTGCCGGCTCCTGCCTGTTTTCTGAGCCTGCCTCTCCTTCAGATGTGCTGCCTGATGTCCCTCCAGCACATCCCTCTTGTGCTGAGGCAGCCAAACTCAGGGGCTGTTGCCTCCAACAAACCCTCGTGAGCATTGGGGCTCAGAATGGGAAGAGACTACAGGCGGGAGGCAGGCGGGCGGGGGTCCTCGGCAGGCACTAAGGGAGTGGTGAGGGGGCCGCAGGAAGGGAGAGGCCGGGGAGAGACAAGGCACTGGGGAAGAAGAGCAGACAGGTAAGATGTCAGGAGAGGGCGGAGTCACAGGTGACCCCAGTTCTGATGGTGGCACAGACAGGTTGGGGGCTGCCAGGGACACAGTCTGTGGGTAATTTCATGAAGGGCTGAAAGTGTCCTCCTTATTTATTATTTTTTTGAGGAAGATTAGCTCTGAGCTAATTACTGCCAATCCTCCTCTTTTTGCTGAGGAAGACTGGCCCTGAGCTAACATCTGTGCCCATCTTCCTCTACTTTGTATGTGGGATGCCCACCACAGCATGCCTTGCCAAGCGGTGCCCTGTCTGCACCCGGGATCCGAACCTGCGAACCCCGGACTGCCAAGAAGCAGAATGTGCGACCTTAACCACTGCGCCACCAGGCGGGCCCCAGTGTCCTCCTTAAAATCACGCCCTGACAAGACCCCACGAGGGGGCTGGTTGTGAAGGTCAGCAGGAACGACAGGGATGGGTAGTAACGGGGAGCTGGGTAGAGGCCAGCCATCCCCTGGGGAGATTTCTCTCCAGGACACAAGCCACAGAACCAAAGGCCCCTGCACTGGGACTTTGCACTCACACTTTGGAAATTAGGAATTTCATTCCTTTTTATCAAGATCTTGAAATGCGGTAATAAAGCTACACCAATGAATAGCCCAGCACAACACGGGGGGAAAAAATGCAATAAAGGCAAAAGCAATAAAAGTAGAGGGACCCACCACTCCGCACTGGTACAACTTGGAAGAAATAAAAGTAATTATCACCTGTCCAACCTGGCCAGCCCCTCCACCTGCGCAGAAGAAAGCCATTTCAGAACTTTATTTCCTATATTGAATGTCAACAATTGGATGTATTTATACGTCTCTCTGGAAGAAAACAGCTTGTGATTTCAAGATGAGAAAACAGTCTTCCAAACAGTGAAAAACAATATATTCCCCATTTTCACACACACACAAAGAGCTTGTTCCCGTCGATGTGTTTAAGGTGCCGTTGGAATGATTTGCCTTTCTGAAGCCACCGTTCCATTTCTCATCTTGAATTGCCTCGTAGACCCCGGCAAAGCACTCAGCGGGGACCCCTTCATCTGAGGCGGTGACAGGCTTCCTAGGGAGGGCCTCTCGGCTGCTGCCCGCCTCTTTTCTGCAGGAAGAAGGATACCCAGGCGGGTGGGGCCGGGGAGGAAGGGAAGGAGGAGGATGGCGTGATGTGGGGGCTCCTCTGGGGGCTGACGATGGTGGTGACAGCTGTGGCGTGGTCCCGGAGGAAGGAACAGGCGGCGCTGGCCTCAGGAGTGGGAGAGCTATGGTTGCCACTGCTGACACTGCAAAGGCTGAAGGCTGACATCTGCCAGTCCGAGTTGGAGAGGGAGCCTCCTGGGCATTTCATTTCCGCCATGCTCCTTCCTCCCAACTTGGGAAGCAGTCTGGTTGAATACGCCCCCCGCCCCCCACACCCACACCCACACCCACACCCCTCTGTTCTTTCTCTTCAGTCTATTTGGCACCAGTCTTTTATTCTCAGCAAAAGCAAACAAACAATCACAAAACACCCGCATGACACCGGTGTGGGCCTTCACCACCTGAGGCTGGTGCCCCATGCGGGTGACATGGAGCCTCTTGCAGGCTCTTTCCAGTTCTCTCCTCCAACCCTCCGAGACATGGGCTCGGACCCTACCGCTTTCCTGCTCAGAACCCCGCCGTAACTCCCCGCTCATCACAGGAGGAAATGGCAGCACACACCCCTACTCTGTGGCCCTCCCAGACGGGGGGCTCCGTGGGGACAATGCTGAGGCCTCCTCTTCCTCCTCTGCCCCTGACCCCTCACAGTGTGGCCTGTCAGAGGGGCACTACGGGCAACAGCTTGGTAGCCAGAGGCAGAGCCAGCATCCAGGCCACCTCCAGTGGGGTCCCACAGAGCCCTTGGGCAGACCAGAGTCCTCTGCATGCAGCAAGAGATGCGTGGGGTCCACATCATGGCTCTTTCCGGGGACTCCCCTGTAAGGCCCCAAGGGTGGCTCATGAGTCAGAATCTGGCTGGTTGCCACCTTTGGGCCTGCCATGTCCAGGAAGCCAGCTGTCAGAGTGTCCATGGAGCTGCAAGAGCATGGTTGCTAGATGGAGGCGGGCGGGCAGAGCACGGAACCCTGGCAGGACACGGTGTCACAGGGACAAGGGAAACCACAGTAGCTCCAAGGAGGAGCCTTCCCTGGATGGAGTTTCTTTTGTGGGTCTCTGGCTGGGGCGGGGCACTTCTGGATGCTCTGGCCGCTGGGTGGGCTGAGCAGACACCTGTAGGTCCCTACCAGGGGAGATTGTTTCAGCCAAGGGCCTGTGACCTCAGAGGTGACACCGAGTGAGGCCTGAGTGTGCTGGCTGGTGCTCTCCCTTGCTGATTTACACACTCCCGCTCCAACTCTCTAAAATCAATCTTCCCCAATTGCCTCCTGGCTCCCAGCAGTGGCTCAGGTCTGCCCTGCATGAGTAACTACGCAATCTTCTCCCACTCCCAGGGCCCCTGCCAGAGCTCTGATAAGGGGGGGGTGGGGCTAGGGGGGACACAGCCCACCCAGAGCTCTGATGGGGAAGGGTGGGGGTGGGGAACAGCCCTGCCAGAGCGCCGACGGGGAGGGGTGAAGGGTTGGGTCCACCCTAGTAGAGCTCTGATGGGGAGGGGGGAGGGGTGGCAGGGCAGCCCTCTGTGCCAGGCTCACGCAATTGGCAGGGCAGGCCGTGGTCCAGAAGGGCCTGGGTGGGCAGGAGTCATGGGCAGGGCCTTCTCACGTAATTGGTAGGTGCCCTGCCCCTATTATTTTGTAGATGTTTAGGATAATTACTTCTTTTTCATATTAATAAACACTCAGAGCTGGCAGTTGGCCTAATTTTGACATAGTTTATGTCAAAAGAAATGGCGGAGAGCTGTGATTAGCTGATTAGCTTGGGGCAAGTTTTCCTCCCACAAAGGAGCATGAAAAGCTCACTCTGCTCACCCTTTTTTTAAGTGTCACTTATTAGGGAATTGAGTCTCTTTAGCTAAAGATGGAGCAACTACTTAACGGGGGGGTTGGGGGGGCCGGCCAGGTTCTCAGGGACCCTCAGCCTGGCAGTGACAGGTAGGGCCTTATGCCTCTGCCCTCCTCCCTGGAAACTGGCAAGAGGGCAGATAGACCCTCTCAGGGGTCCTGCCCGGAGGACAGAGACCTCTGAGAGTTGCTGTGTGCAGGGGGGAGGGGGAGGAAGGATGGGGGACCCCTCTTCCGTCAACTCTCCTTGGCTTTATCTGGGTCAGGGAGGTGGGAAGGGCTGTCCGGAGGTGCCACCTTCCTCTTCACCGCTTTGGCCTCTTTGGCTGTGCCACAGGCTAAAGGTGCCTGGATGTTTGCTGGCGAAATCCTACAGCAGCCCCACGAGGTGGGCACCATTAGCTCCCATCTGCCAGAAGAGGAAACCAGGGATGCTGCTGGGACTCCACACTGGCACCCTGCTTATGGTCCAGCTTGATTCCTCCCCCTATTTAAGGGACCTGCTCTCTTCCCAGCTCTGAGCTGCGTCTCCCTCTTGCAGCCCCTGGCGCCTCCTTAGTTCAGCCATGGGGACCCACATCCTTGTCTTGACAAAGAAACAAAAAGCACCCCCAACCCAAGCCCTTCAACCAGAAGTGACTTCCAGCTGTCAGATAGCTTGGGGCTGGGGTGAGGAGACCCATGGGCATGCACTGGACCCCACCTCCTGTCCATACACATATGCACACCCTCGTGTGGCCCAGGACTGGAGGGGCACCCAGCCCGGGGCCCCCTTCCTTCACAGAGCCAGTGTGGGTCACTACCCAGGGATGTTACTGCATGTGCTCAGCCTCTGTGTGAGCTCAGGCGAGTTACCTACCTCTCTGGGCCTCAGTTTTCTCATCTGTAAAATGGCATTAAGGACAAAGCCTACCTCACAGGGATGTTGTGAGGATTCCATGAGCTACGTTTGCAAAGTATTGGGGCACAGTAAGTGCTCTGGACCTGTCGTTGTTAACTAACTAACTCCCTAGGCCCATATTCAAGGCCTTGCAGGATCTGACCCTTGCTTACCTCCGGGAATGTGAGCACTCTCACATTCCGTCTCCTGTACGCTGAACTGCTTTGGTTACTCCAATTGCCCCGACCTGTGCTCAAGTCATTTTCCTTCTTAAGCAACAGCTGTCACCTCTGTCCCACCCCAGGACTGGGTCAGAGTCTCCTTCCCCCATGGTCTTCATCCCCAGGCGGGCCGGGACACCACGTCGCGGCTGAACCAGAATCCAGGTATCCACTGCCTCCGGTCACTCCCTTCTGTTCTAGAAAGGTTTCTGCTCCCCAGCCCAGGCCTCGCCCAGGCCCCGCCCCTTGCCTGCAGCCAGCACCCGGCGAGCAGACAGATCTTCCCTCCCTCCGGGGCTCCGCCCCTCCGGGTCCGCGGCACTGGAGGGGGCGGGGAAGGGACCCCGGCCCCGCCCAGGCCCCGCCCCCTTCGGTGGGTCCCGGCCGCGCTCAGCTGACGCCGCGCTTCACGTGACGCTGAGCAGGGCAAGCATGGCGGTGGCCGCCGGGTGAGTGCTGCTCGCGCCCTTGGTCCTCGCCCTCGCCGTCGCCCTGGCTCTGGCCTGGCGGCGCGGAGAGGGGCCTGGGCCTCCCGGCTGGACAGTGGGTGACAGCGCCGCCGCCGGGCCGCGTCCCCGCCGGCGCGCTCTGTGGCCGCCGGCAGCGCGCTCCGAGTCGGAGCCGCGCCGTGCCCGCAGCTCCCCGCGCCGCTGCCCCGGCGCCCGGGCCCCCGCGCGCGTGGCGGCCCCTCCGTGTGGGCCGGGCGGGGCCAGCGTCGACACGCTCGTTCACGGCCGCGACCCTCGGACGGGAAGGGGGCGTTGCCGGGGCGCCGGGGACCCGGCTCTCCCCGGAGGAGGTGGTGTTTGCGACGGGTTTGGAATCCCCTCCCCACTTCCCCGCTTCCTTCGGGGCCCAGACGTCAGCACCTTTGAGAAGCCTTCTCTAATACCTATCGTACTTTTTGTAGCCCTGTCACCAGCTGGTAAACTGTAGAGTAGCTGATTTTTACTTGTTCTTGTCTTCTCCCATTTAGAATGAAAGGTCATGCCTTTCTCCTCCTCACTCCTGGGCCTCACTTGTACGGGGTCTTGCACACAGTAGGTGCTGCATAAATGCTGCTGCATGAAAGAATGGGTGAGCGGACTTAGTGGGAGGGAGTGTGGACAGATGGGTTCAGTGAAGCGTTGGGGAGAGTGTCCCAGATGAGGGAACATCGGGCAAAAGTTGAGAGATCAACGTTGAGAGTTCGGCTTGTTCTGGGGACGAGATTGGAGTGCGTCCTGGTGCTGCAGGGTGTGGTGCCCCAGATGGCTTCTCCAGACTGTAACCTGTGGGACTGGACCTCTGAGGGTTTTAATCTGCTCACATCTGCTTTTTAGACCATGGCTCCCCTGGGTGTGTGAGTTCAGGGGGAGGCCCAGTCCTGGGGAAGGGCTGTGGTGCTGGGGGCTGGGAGGGGCAGGGATAAAGAGGGGCACTGCCCCAGATGCCAGACTGGGGACTGAGACTGGAATGGCGAACCTGGTGGACTGAATGCATCTGTGTTTTGGGGAGGTGGGGAGAATGGCAACAGAAAATGCCCCCTCAGTTGGCCCCTAAGGTTGGGAGAGCTTAGGACACACAAATCAAACGTTGAGTGGGCACCTGCTGTATTCCAGGAGCAGGCTGGGCCTACTCTTGGATGTTCACGGACCCCTGGGCAGATGGACGCATGGGACTCTGTTGTCTGTCTGTCTCCGGTCTTGGTGTGCACCGTGGAGAGGCAGGGGCTCTGAGCACGGGAGAGTGTGGACAGCCTTCACTCCCCGGATGACATTTATGTGGGTCCTCGAGCACCCCTCAGCCAGAGAACTGTGCGTACAAAGTCCTGGATGAGTGTCAAGGAGCCCAGGTTGCTCCTTGAACCCAGCCTGTGACCCTGTCTTAAAGAGCAGGGTGAGCAGTAGATGCAGGCCAGTGCCCGGACGTGGATCTGTTCCCCCTGTATCTGGGCCGGCCATGTGGTCACAGGGAGTTCCAGGGGCTGCATTTGGGTTCAGGGCTTCATGCTGGCCTGAGGCCTGCACTCTCCTGCAGGTGCAGAGGAGCCAGGCTGGTGACTGGACTGCGGGGAGCCTGGAGCTGGCTGAATCCTGGAAGGAGGTCTTAGAGCAAAGCTGATTCTCTGGGCCGTGGCAGGGGGTGGGCAAGGGGTAAAACACAGTGACAGTGGTCTTGGAGAGGTGCGCTGTTGGAAGGGAGGCCTGACAGATGCAGGGAGCTTGACAGGGCTTCCTTGGCAAGAGCCATCCCAGGCTGGTATGGGGCTGCACTGCTGGACTGAGCCTGAGGTCAAGCCCCAGCAGCTTCTTTAAGGGGAGGAGGTATTGGGTATATTTCCAGCAACGTTCCGTGCCCAGCTCCGCACACAGGACAGATCAGTGTCGGGTGTAATGAGGCCCCGCGCCATCAAGTCATGGCCATGGGCTGCCTGTAGAGTCCTCCCAGAGCCTGGGCCAGGGGCGCCCGTGAGTCCTGCGGAGTTTGCTCTGTGTGGTTTGGGAAGCAGCGGAAGCCGGGGAAGCCCTAAGCTGGCATCTCAGAGTCAGCTAGAAACTCGAGATGCTCCTCGGGGAGTGTTTCAGGGTTGATCCTGCTCTGTCCTGCCAGCCTGGGCAGGGACTTCGAGTTTGAGACAGAGGGTCCCACTGCCCCCAGAGGGTCTGCTCTGAGGTCACCCCACGCCTCCCGTGGCACTTGGTGGGAGGGAGCCTGCCTTCTCCTTGAGATTTCCTTGGACAGAGGTCAGACTCCCCTGCTGCCCCGGACCTGCTTGCATCTGCTTCCCCACGGGGCTTGTTCCTCTCTCCTCTTCGCTTTGTCCCCTCACCTGCTGGCCCCACAGTGCCCTCGTCCTCTGACTTAATCGCTCTCATACTTGCAGACCCAGTTTAGATGGTTCCTCCTCCTAGAAGCCTTTCCCACTCCCCCTCCCTCGTGACCTCCAGGAGAGACTTCCTGCTCAGAACTCTACAGAATCCCAGTTCTTCCCACCCGTAGGACACTTGCCACGGCTGCCCACCTGCCCATCGTGGTCGGGGGTGGGGTTGCTTCCCCTCTTGCCATCCTTGGAGCCCATGGACCCATTCAGTTTGTATCTCCAGGGCCAGCCTGTGGCCTCCATGTAATTGGTGCTCATGACATGGTGCCGAATGGATAAAAGGGTGATTTACTCTAAGCTAGTCCAACAGTCCATCCTGCTTTCATGATTGAGGAAGGGAGTTGTGGGTGGGAGGGTACACAGAGTTCTGACTAGGATGAAGAGGAGTCTAATTCTTTAAGTGAACAGCTTAAAGGGAGCCGTTGCTCAGCGAGAAGCAGCAGGTGAGCTGCCCTGGGTGTGTACCTATTGGGCTGTAGGTCAGGCTGGAGTCAGCATTTTCCTGGGGAGAAAGTATCTGGAGGAGTTGGGTTCTGGATCAGAGCCTGTCCCCACCTTCATGTGAACCTTGTGCTCTGGGAGCAGAGGTGCCAGGCTGACCCTGGGGCTGCGGTACAGATGGGTCTGTGGGAGGCAGGCTGGCCACTGAGTGCCCCATGCCTTCTCCGGGCCTGGTCCTGACTCCACACAGCCCTCTCTCTGTCCCTGTGTGTGCTCAGCCCCCTGACCCTCAGGAGAGAGGGAAGTGGGGTGGGAGGTGCTGGCCAGCTGCTGTGAGGCCCCTTCCAGCCAGGGGAGCGGACTGGCTGTGGCTGAGGAAGCAGGCCGGTCCTTGGCTGGCTTCTCTTGCTGGGAGCATGGCCCCATCCAGAAGAGGCTTCACATGCCAGTGCAGGGATCTTGTCCTTGTCTGTGCCATGGACCCCATGGGCATTGGTGAGACCTTTGTACCCTTCTCAGCATGTTTTAAAATGCATGAAATAAAATATAGACGATTACAGGAAAAACCAATTATATTGAAATGCACCTATGAAAATGTTAAAAAATAAATTTGTGATTTAGTGATACATGCTTCTTTGTTAACACATTAAGCATTAAAGTGAGCAGCGGGCCTAATACCACCTTAATTTTGAAGCAGTGCTGAGCAGAAGTGGTATTTTGAGATACTGTGGCAGCAGTAATGTGGTATGGAAATACCTGTGCTTTCTGTTGGACGCATTCACACACACTGCTGATACCGCTGTAGTTAGCTGCTTACATTAATAATTGAGGAAGATGTAAATTTGAAAGAGAAGCTAGAGAAAATAAAGATACAGTTTTTTCCCATCCAAGTAGATAGAGACCCTGAGTTCTCTGTGTGAATCCCCAGGGGTCCTCGGGCCTTGGGGGAGAACCTCGCAGGTGACTTGAGAGCAGAGGAGACGGTGGCTCAGTTCTGATTTGGGGTGACAGGGATGGGTTGTGGGGGCAGTGGCGTCACCCTTTCCCTGGGGGCTGACTCCACTCCTGGTCACTCTGTTTGTGGCCCTGGCCACTTACTCAGCCTTGGCGGTTGGCAGGGGGCGGGCTGGCCGGTGGGGGCCAGAGCTCGTTCTGTGAGTCTCTGATGTCCTGGAGCCATTGTCCACCAGCCCCTGCTGCCTTCCCCAAGCATTGCCTGTGGCCTCAGCTGCCTGCACTAAAGCGTACCTTATTTACGCTGGCACTTGGGTATGAACTGCCTTCAGCCTTTGAAATTCTGGGTGCTAGTTAGCAGACGTGCCCGCAGATGCCAGCGCAGGTGTTTTATTAGAGCTGCTTTTGCTGAACTTGCAGGGAGAGGTCACCCCCGTTGGCTCTGGGCCCAGCAGTCTCTCCCAGGGTTTGGTTTACGCCTTTTACGCCAAGAGCAATCAGAGGGCATGTCTCTATAAACCTTGATTCCGGGTGTTCTGCGGTGATGAATGACCGCAGCACGTCGGCCTGTGGGGGCCCCAGGCTGGGCTGCCCGTCTCTGTTCTGGCTGAGCCCACGCAGGGTTAGGTGGGACTGTAGCTTTTCTTCACAGTGGCAGCCGAGTGCTCACGGAGAGGGGGCCTTGTCAAGTTTCCCATCTTCATCTGAGCAGCGTGGCCCTTGGTCCGGAAGCCCCGGTCTCAGTGCCCTGAGGGATTTAGGCCTCTCAGAAGGTTCTGGACAAGAGGAAGCCCAACCTTTTGGAGAGCCTTCCAGGTTGGGGCGTGGTGGCAGACCAAGTGGAGCTGGCGCTTGGTGTGTTGAAGGAGGGAGGCCAGGCAGAGGGCGAGGATGGTGCTGGGATGAGGGGGCAGGGATGGGCCCTGCAGGCTGGGGGCCCAGGGTGGGCATTTTCAGCCAGTTGTGCTGTTGAGTCCATGTGGATCTGGGCAACTTTGGCTGAGGCCCCACGTGCAGCAGCGCCTCAGAATTGTTCTCTCTCGGCCGTGGGGGGGTCTGTAGAGACAGCTTCCCCCTGTGCCCACCCCCCTCTGTGGGCTTTGCTGAGTGAGGGGAAAGAGTGTGTGGGGCCGTGGGGCACCCTGTGCAGGCGTGCTGGTGGCTGCACTTTCAGTTCCTGACAGCGTGGCCAGCTGGGATGCGGGCATGTTTACGAGCTGTTATCTCTACCCCTTCATCCTTGCAGCTGAGCATGGCAGGAAAGCGGCCTGGCTTAGAGGAAGCCCTGGCTCCTTGTGTCCTCTCTCCTGGGAGGGAGAGGGAGGGCCCGTGCCTGGGGAGGACGGGTGGGCCTTCCAGTTCTGACAGCATGTGTGGGGTGTGCACGACCCCTCCACCCTTCCTGTCCAGGCCAGGGCCCGAGGGTTCTGCTTCCTGCCCCCCTGGGGCTGATGTGGCCACTTCTCCTCTGCACAGCTGTTTGTGTGGCCCCATGCTGTGACAGTTGTTCACTCAGCAGATGTTTATGGAGCACTTGCAGGGTGCCAGGCAGGGTGCTAGGCACTGGGCAGCGGTGGCTGGAGCAGACCCAGGGCTCTGTCTTTGGGGGTTACAGTCCAGCGGGCGGAGGCGGACCTTGCCAGTGAGCCCCAGCAAACGCGCTGCGTTTGTGTTAGAAGGGGAATGCCTGAGCCCGTTGTTCACGCAGAGGGGTGACTGAAGAGAGTTTAATGCAGAGTCGGTTTACAGAGCTAGGGGCAGGGAACAGGAGCCTGGGAGGGGAGAGGAGCAGCTGGTCGGGAACCAGCCAGGGCTGTGCCATGGCCCCAGGTGGAGGGACTACCAGCCATCGTAGCTCCAGGTTCGCACACGGAAGGAGCTGGGGAATGGATTCTTGGTCCTCCTCCTGCTCCTCCCTCCCCTCCGTCCAGTGGCTAAAGCTAAACCCCGCTGGAGGCCAGAGGCAGGGAACATGGGGAACATGCCAATGGAGTCCTTGTAGGCCAGCCCTGGGCAGAGTGGGGATAGAGCTGCAGGTTTAAGGGGGAAGCCAGGAGGACCATCCAGAGCAGGTGGCATTGGAGCCAAAAGGTGCAGGAGGTGTCACCTGCTTGTGTGTCCCTGCCTCTGAGTGTCCCAGGGCCAGGTGAGTGCAGGAGGTCCTGAGGCCTCTTCATGGCCGCATGCGGTGGGGGAAGGGTCTACCTGCCCACCTGTCACCGCCGTCCAGGTAGGGCCCTTTCTCATGTGCCAGCTCTGAGCTGTCCCTACCCTCCTCAGTCTCCATGCCCACTCGCTCCCCCTGGCCCAAGAGATCCTGCCTCACTCCTCCTCTTCTCCCTGGGCCTGCCCCACCCGCCCTCCTACCCCAGCCCAGCCCACCTGCTGGGACTGCCCTCCCTTCCTCCGTTTAGTGTTCATTCGGCACCTAATCACTCATTCCGCCCTCTTTTAAGTGCCGGGAAGGAGGCAAGGGCTCTGGTTACTGGAGCTTCATTTTACCTGGGGAGATAGCAAGGAAGTACGTGCTGTTAGACAGTGATGCGTGCTATAGAGAGGAATGAAGGGACAGGGGGTTAAGGTTAGGATGGGGGTATTGGAAGAGCTTCTGGGAAGGGGGCATTTCTGCAGAGGCCTGGATAAAGCAAGAACGGGAGCAGTGCAGGCACTGGGAGAAGAACGTTCCCCACAGGGAACAGCAGCAGCAAAGCTCCTGAGTGGGAGCGTTCTCGGGACTTAGGGAAGAGGGAGAATGCCAGTGCATTCTTGGGGTGGGTCAGGGGCTGGATCCCTCAGCGCCTGGTAGCTGTCAGGTAAGTCTGCACTTTGTTCGAGAGCACTAGAAAGTCGGAGGGGTAGAGCAGGGGGCAGTGCCTTCTCAGATTCGCTTTTATAAAGGGTCCCTCTGGGTGGGTGCCTGGCAGGCAGTGGGGGAAGCTGGGATGAGAGAGCAGTGGCCAGTTCCCAGTTCCCTGCAGTTGTCCAGACAGGAGGTGGGGATGAGCCACACTGGGGACGAAGGGGTCAGGTGCGGGCTGTGTATTGAAGCGAGAGGCCACAGGCTCTGTGAGAGAGGAATTGAGGATGCCAGCGCCACTGAGAGGGCACAGGGGACTGGGGAGGGGTGGGTTTGGTGGAGCAGGAGGAGGCAGGGCGTCTGGGGAGGGGTGGCAGGTGGCCGTGGCATTTGTGAATCTGGAGGGGGGTATCATGGGCCTGTGGGTGTCATGGTTCTTAAAGCCAAGGGAGTAGGTAGGCTTGGCTGTGCTGGGGGAGGCAGTGCTGTTAGGGAAGAGGTCCCAGGACCTAGCCCAGGGCCTCCAGCACGGAGGTCAGCTGAGGAGAGAGGGAGACCAAGGATGGAAAGAAGCCTGGAGGGGCTGGTGCTGGGCCAGGTTTCAGCAGAGAGAGTGGCCCGTAGTGTCCTGGGCACCGAGAGGCCCATTGAGGCCTGGGAACCTACCTGCAGATTCAAGAGTGTGGGGTTGTGTGGGCTGGCAGGGGCAGCAGTGCGGGAGGGGGTGGGCCAAGGCCTGATGGGGTGGACTGAGGAGAGCGAGGGCCCCCAGGACATGGGGACGGTGGGCTTGGGTGACTCTTCAGAGGATATTTACCACAAAAGGGAGAGGGAAATGGACTGACGGAGGGCATGGAGGGTCAAGGGAAGTGTTTTTATTTTTTTTCAGTTTAAGGCAAGTGAGGTTCTTGTACCTCTGGATGCTGAGAATGATCCTGCAGAGGGGAAAATGGATGCTGAATAGGCGTGGGGGTGGGGCAGGCCACAGCAGGCAGAGGAGAAGCCCCAGGTGGGGGCAACTGGCTGGAGGGTCCAGAGGCAGGTCGGGTTTGGGGTGTGGGGGCTGGGAGGATCAGCTGTTTCCTCCGTGAAAAGGAAGCCAGCATAGGGGTGAGGAGAGACACTCGCCTGCTCCCCCAGGCCTGGCCCCGCCCCGCCTCCCATAAGGTCTCAGCAGCTTCTCCCTTGCTGTCTACTCTCCTCCAGGTCAGCACCCCTCGGGCTGCCGCTCACGGGGCCATGTCGCCTTGGTTCCCCCTCAGTCACTCCGCACACACTTGCCAGGCTCCCCTCAGCCTTACACTCAGGGCCCTGGGGGGGGTGTGTGTGTGTTGGGGACAGATGGGTGTCCCAGCTGAGGAACAACCAGCCCTGGCTCATGGCAGGGACTGAGTGCTCTCTGGGCCAGATCACGTTTCTCACGTGGATAGTAAGCTCCTTGAGGATGGGAGTTGAGTGGGTGCATCTCGAAACCATTGCAGGCTTTCCCTCTCGGGGCCTCACCTGCCCGCTGGTTAAACAGAGCTAGCTATCCATGGTCCTCACTTGTGGTCTAGTGCTCCGGGACAGCAGGGGACGGTGTGGTCCTTGGGCGGCTCAGGGAGGGGCTGTTTCTGAGTCGCCGGCAGGTCGAACTTGGACCCGCTTGCCACGTGCTAATGGGGGTCCCCTGGCAGGCTCAGCCCTCCAGCTGCCTCAGACCACGGGCGGGGACAAGCTTGGCAGTGCTAACAGAGCCCACGTGGCGGTGTATGCTTGTGTCTTTGCAGGCCTTCATTCTGGCTGGGGAACGAAACCCTGAAGGTGCCCCTGGCACTGTTCGCCCTGAACCGGCAGCGCCTGTGCGAGCGCCTGCGGGCGAGCCCGGCCGTGCAGGCCCGCTCCGTCGTGCTGCTGCAGGGCGGGGAAGAGACCCAGCGCTACTGCACCGACACCGGCGTCCTCTTCCGCCAGGTGAGCCTGGCCACTTCTTCCATCCCTGGCTCCGAGCATGCACCAGACCTCTCATGGGCCCGTTCACCCTCCTCCAGCACTGGGCCTGGTGGGTGTGGAACAGCTTTGTCCCCAAGGGGACCCTCTGGAGAGGCCCTCTGAAGGCAGACTGGGGCCTGGAAGCCCAGAGGGCCAACACTCTGGGGGGCAGAGCTGTCACCAGCCAGCCTCAGCTCTCTCAGGTCTGAGTATGGAACAATGATATTCCTGAGGGAGCAAGCAAGCAAGGCTTCATGGAGGAGGCGACATTTGGTGTGGGTCCCAAAGGCCAGGGTGAATTCTGACAGGTAGAGCTAGGGTTGGGTGTTCCATGTGGGAGGATGGTGTCCACAGGAGTGGGTGAGCAGAGGGTGGGCTGGGCAGCTCTCCCTGGCCGGGGAGAGGTGCAGATGGGGAGGGCTGAGTTCAGATTCTGCCTGCAGCAAGAGGACGGGGTTACAGAGGCCTGGGAGATGGCATGTGACTGGGCGGCTCCTCTGAGCAGGAGTCAGAGGCTGGGCCTTCGTCCCGGCTTTGCCAGTGCTGATCCCATGAGCCTCACCGGGCCTCCGCCTTGGTTTGCTCACCTGGGAAGTGGTCCAGGGGCTCCTTGTGGTTCTGGAACCCTGTGGGGTAGTGGGCAGCCCAGCTGCAGGAAGCCAGCCTGCCTGTGGTGGCCTTGGCTGCGGAATGCTGGCATCACTCAATTCCCGGGAACAGGAGCGAGGACACCTGAGAGAAGGGTTCCCCAGAAAGCCAGGGAGACCCTGAGCTGGCCCCAGTCTTGTCACTCCTGCATTGTACCCACTTTACAGATGAGGAAACTGAGGCTCGGAGTGGAAATGACTTGCCGGAGGTGGTGCTGGAGTTAATTAGAACCCCATCTCCTCCAAGTCTAGTCTTCTCTTCTCTCTGCCAAGCCCTGGGGCCAGACACGAGGGGGACCCAGAACCTCCCTGGAGGCAGGCTGAGCCACGGGGGCATGGCCATCCGGCATCCAGGTCAGGGAGGGGCAGGGGCACGTGAGGGGGAGCTGAGTGTGGAGAGGAGGGGGCAAGGCGTGGCCTCCCCAGCTGGACTGTGCACCCTGTGGGGCACAGAGGGCCCGAGATCCGATGCTGAGAGCGATGGCTCAGGGCTTTCACTGAAGGCGCCTCCTGCGGGCATGCTTCTCTCAGCTACATAGTTCTTGCTGCCCCGAGCCTGCAGTCTTCTGGTTGCTGGAGACGTGGAAGTCTACATAAGTTTTTTCTAATCAGTCTTGATGCTTCGTGAGGTTCACATATTCCGTGGATTAAAAACTGATCTCCTGAATTCAGCTGTTGGCTCCCCTACTGATGTCATGCGAGGTTAATTTTAGCAGAACTCTGCCTCCACTTCATACCTTTATAACGTCATCATTTTAGCACAGTGTTTATTGCTAAACACTGAAGTCATGTGCTGCCCTGGGGATGGGAGAAGGAAGAAAGAAGTCCTAAATGGAGGAGTCCATTTCCGGGCCGATGTTGCCCTGGGTGTGTAGGTGGCATCTTGCCTGCCTGCAGGCAGTGGGGGGTGGCAGAGAGGTGTGGGCAGGGCTGAGCTGACCTGCAGTGCTGCTGGGCACCCGTGTCCTAGTGTGCCCTGTCAGGGGCCTTAAGGGGGTGGCCAGTGAGGTGGGGGTGCAGGCAGGGCTTGGGATCATCAGAGGCCCCCTGCCAAATCCTGGAAGGACGAGATGGGCAGCCTGCAGTCGGAGTGGGGAGAAGTGTGCTAAGGTAGAGGGGTGCGTGAGACTGGGGTCAGTCTGTGAGGTCAGTGGGCCTGAGTGGACTCTCTTGGGTACAGGAAGGAAGGCATTCAGCCCACTGCCCCACCTCCCTCCACTGCCCCACCTCCCTGCTTGTGTCTCATGCTTCTGTCCTGCTGACTGGGTAACCACGGTCCTTGCTCCCCCCACAGGAGTCCTTCTTTCACTGGGCATTCGGCGTGACCGAGCCAAACTGCTACGGCGCGATTGACGTTGACACTGGAAAGTCGATCCTGTTTGTGCCCAGGCTTCCTGCCAGCCATGCCACCTGGATGGGAAAGTAAGGAACAGTCTAAGCTGTGTGACCGTGCCTTCTGACTGCTGGCCGGAGGGCAGGTGCAGGGCCAGCCTGTGGGTGGCAAGGAGGGAAGGAGTCCCAGGAGGGAGGGTTGGTGGTCAGGCGCCTTGACAGCTGTTCTGGGCCAGAGCCCTGCCCGCTTGGCTGGGAAGGGGTGCCAGAGCTGGAGCCACAGGCATGGTCACGTTTGTGTGGAGGTAATACTATTGATCTTGAAATCCTGGATGCCCAGCTTTGTTAAAATGCCTGAGGCTGTGGCCCCAGTGGACTGTCACTCCTGCATGGCATCCATGGAGGGTGGCCCCACCTTGGGTGTGGTGGGGGTTGGCTCGGGTCAAGGAGGGCAGCCCAGGGCCCTTCTTGGAGGCCCATCACCAGCGTGCAGGGCAGTACTGGATGCCTGTGGTGTGCCCACCCTGGACTGAGCTATGCAGGGCCACAGATGTGGGTCCTGCCTCAGTTGGCTCACCTGTGAGACGGGGCGGAGGCTCCAGGTGGTGCCATGTGAGAAGTGCTGGCCCGGAGCTTGTCCCCGATCGTCCACAGCCCCACCAGTTCTGGGGCCCTCGGCCGCGTCCACCCCTCCCTGGAGCCCTTCCTGCCTTCTCAGAGCCACTGAGGCAGATCTGTACCTAACCAGGGACGCTTAAGGTGATAAGAGGACCTGCTAAATACTCACCACCTTCCGGGGTGTTGTTTCTGCCTGGAGAGTGATTATTCTGGGCCGAGGTACAAATTGCAGCCTTTGCTGCCTCGTGTCCCCAAGCACTCATTACCAGGTGGGCAGGCGGGTCTGTGGCTGATTTGAATGACAAGGCACCTGGCTGCTGCAGGGACTGCTCTCTGTGCGAGGCCAGGCAGGGCCTCCCGCACCACCTCTGCTTTGTGCGCCATCCTCCCCCACCAGCCCTTTGGTGCAGACTGCATCGTCTCCTTTGTTGGCCTGGCGGGTACCTCCTCTGCCATCCTGGGGTGAGGGGCGCAGGCTCCCAGGTTGGCAGCAGTTCTGCTCTGAGGCCACTCAGCAGGATCGCGGGCCCAGGGCCTGCGGCTTCGCTGTGAGGATGGCTTTGAGCAAGCACAGTCAGCAGAATAGTAGTGGGCCGTGCTCTCCTGGCGGGCAGGGTGCTTTCCTGGCCCTGGGGAGGGAGTGGACGTGCCCAATCCAGCTGGCCTTTGGCGTGGGTGGCTGGGCTACCACTTAGGTTCTGGCCCTCTCAGAGGCCCTGGGGCGGATGGCACAGACTTTTTCCTGCTGTGTTGTGAGCGGGTTCCCACCGACCTCCACGCCTGAGTTAGAGAGGGCACCGGAACGCTGTGCTGCCTCCTTGCCAGAGGAAGGAGCGGGGCATTGGGCACAGCTGAGCCGGGCACGGTGAGGGCCCCCAAGGCTCCGCACTGCCCCAGGCCTGGGAGGTCATGTGGCAGGGGCCCTGGGGAGGAGGCCAGCCGAGCTCGATGTCTTCCCTGTGCTCTGGACCTCTTGCCCACGCAGTCACAGAGTGTCTTGTGCTTGCTGAGAATTGGCCTCAGGTTTGGCCTGGGGTGGGCTCTCCTCAGTCTGTTCGTCCAGGGCCCCTCCTCCTGCTAGAGCAGAAGATCCAGTCCAGCAGACACGGTGCTCCTGGGAAGGTGGTTCCCACCGACTCTTGCCTCCCTATCCTGCTGTGACCTTTACTGTCCACCTTTACTCTATTCCTGGCTGAAGCCTTACGGCTACCCTCTTATGAAGAGGAGATGGGCTCAGCCTGGTGCCGTGGCCTGTGTGGGTCCCGTGGCCTGGTCTTGCGGGAAGCTTCCCTGACCTCTGCGTGTAGGTCACAGGGCTTGCGAGCGGGTCTGGCCATTCTTGGGGCCTCCGATTCCTTGTCTATGGAACCTTGATGATCCTGCTCGTGAAGCACCACCAGGGCTGTAGTAGCGGTGATGGTCACTGTGGGGACAGTTACCCTGTGATACTGAGATGAGGTGGTGAGGATGCAGGGGACAAACAGACTGGAATGTCCAAAAATGGCCACAGCAATGTTTGTGGCCGTTCCTGGTGCAGAGGTAGAATCTTTTCCCTGCTTGGCTCTGGTCAAGACCTGGTGCCCGAGTCAATGTGTGAACATGGCAGGGTCACTGGGTGACTTCTGAGGCTAGACTGGAACGTGCACTATAGCTTCCACGTGGTTCTCACTCACGGCACATTTGCTCTGGAACCCAGCGCCACACCGCAAGAAAACCCAAGCTCACCCCTGTGGAGAGGCCACGTGGAGAGGGGCGGAGGCCCGGCGGACAGCTAGCTCCACCCACTAAAGTGGGCAACTCCAGGCCCAGCTCTCGTGGAGCAGAGACAAGCCTCCTCTCAGGGCTCTGTCCTTCAGAGTCGGGGAACACGCTGGATGGTTTCTCGCTCCCCTGTGTGTTGGGGTGGTCTGTCACGCAGCCCTGGTAACTGGAACAGCCGTGGGGACAGCTTTCCTGGTGAGAGTTTAGATCTGGTCCTTTGAGAGGATCTCCCAGAATGCTTCCTGCGCTCTGAGCGGACCCAGAGGTGTAGCTTCAGCCCTGCCTGCCTGTGGCACCTCCGGGAATAGCCGGGCCCCTGTGCCTGGGCAGCACCCACGGCTCGACCTGGCTGCCCTCTCAGCCTCCTCATGGCCCTGCCTCCTGGCTCTGGGGGTGCGGGATGTCTTGCTGCTCAGAGCCAGTGCTGCAGTAGATGCTGCCCCCTGAGAGGTGGGCGTGGATGGCGGTGCAGGGAGGGGCTGTGCGGGACCTCACCTGGGGTTCTGCCTGGAGAGGCGGGAGCTCAGCGCATCCCCGCTTCTTTTTATGGAGAGCCGACTCCTGTGAAAAGTCGGGAGTGCCTGTCCGTGGGTGGAGGGTGGGCATCCTCCAGGGCTGTGGGAGGACTGGCCCGGTGCCTGCCTCAGGGACTCCACTGTGCAGCAGTAAAACCTAAGCAAATCTCACTGTGTTTCCCCATGGCCACCATTTGGGGAGCCAAATGGCACTCAGCTTGAGGGTTTAAAGCCTGGGACCTGACTGGTCAGGGAATGGCTGTCCGCGGTCGGCTTTCCTGGAGGGTCGTCTTCAGTAATACAAGGGTGACCTTCTGCACCTTGGCCAGGGCTGGGTTTCATTTAGCACCGCTGGTAAAAGTCCTCCTTTTGTCTGTCCCTGCTTTGCTGGGCCAGCTGCTTGACGGTGCAGACATACGGATTTGGCTGATCTCTGAGGGTACAGATAGGTCTGCAGAGTGGGTCTGCCCTGTCGGAAAGGCCCCATGTGCATGCTGGGCAGGCCAGACTGAGCAGCCCTGTCCCGAGGGGCATCCGGTACCACAGCAGAGCAAGACTCTCTTCTCCTGCAGGTCTGGCCCCCGCTCTGGCCACCCCGCAGGCCTTTCCCTTCCTCTGCTCTGCTGCGACCTGCTAGTCCCCGTGTCCCGAGCCCTGGGGAGAGAGGCAGTGGTGAAGGGCTTGGTTGTTTGGGGCTGGAGTTGGGGAGTGGCCAGATCTGATTGTGTGTGGCTGTTTGCAGACACTCATAATCAGTAGGGCTGGCGCAAGGCTGGGATTACCTGGCCTTTGCAATCAACACCCACCAGACTGGACGTTTGACCTTCGGCTCCTCAGCTTCCTTTTGAGTCTCTGTCTGATGGCTTTTGAAAATCCATCTGGCGGATGCTGCAATCCGAAGTCGCCCAGGGAAACAGCACCCCTGTCTGCAGATCTGCCGCTTCCTGTGTGAGCAGCCTGTCCTGTCGTCAGGGCTGCAGATGCAAGGGGCCTGTGGGCAGCCTGGTGCCTGGCCTGTCCCTCACCCCAGGCCTTTTTTGGGGCAGGAGTGTGGTAGCTTCTAATTCATTTTTATTTGGAGTCACTGCTTACAAAAGTCCAACTTCTTTAATGTGAGAGTGTTTCCCATTGTTTTTAGCAGAAGCAGGCTTAGCCAATGGCAGCTTTGGCTGTCCGGGGGTCTGGGGTCCTCTGAGCAGGTGGGAAATTGCCTCTGTGATTCCACATCCTGCATGGCTTTAGCCTGTAGGGGCTGAGTTGGGGGCCAAGTTTGGGGACCCTCCCGGCACCTTTGCAGCTTGGCTGAGCTCTACTTCCATCCCTGGCTGAGCCCCGGGCTTGGAACGTGAGACAGTGTGCCCGGCCTGGGGTTTGTAGGGAGCAGGGGGCCTGTCCTGCTGAGGGCGCTGCCCAGGGGGACTGTGAGTGAGTCTCTCCAGGCCTGAGCCCTGAGGCCCTGAGCACTGTTTTTTTTGGTTCAGGAAGGAAGGTACGTTTGTGGGGGGTAGTGTGTTGTTCTGTGCTATGTGCATGGTGTAGGGGTTGGGGTGTGTATGTGGGGTAGGGGGTGTGGGTGTTCGTGTGGTATTTGTGTGTGGTGTGTATGTATGTGGTGTGTGTATGTGAGGGGATGTTTGTGTGGTGTGTGTGTGGTGTGGTGTGTGTGCATAGTTTTTCAGTCACTGCCCCGACCCTGTCCACACACCTGGGTCATGAGAACCAAGGCTTCGTGGTGGCTGTGTCTTCAGGGAGAACTGACATGGGATGCGGGCCTTCCTGGACAGGGCTGAGGGAGCCCTTTGGCTCTTACTCTAGGCGGTAGGGGAGCCTGACCCCAGCAGCCCGTGGCCTGGCTGTTCACGGGCCCTGTCTTGGTCACCTCTGCTCCTCCCTGGCCCTGGGCCCTGCCCTCCTGGGCTCTCTGGGAAGTGCCACGGCCGCGTCTCGAGTGTGGTCTCGGGTCAGGGCCGCGCTGCTTTGCGGAGATCCGCTTTTCTCTGACAAGCTTGTGGAACCTGGATGTGGTGGCCAGATGTCCCTTCCAGAGCCAGTGGCGGGGTCGTGCGTGAGCAGAGTGAAGGCAGCAGCGTTGTTTGGGGGCCGAAGGCCGCCTCGGCCGCTGGACGTTGTTGGTGACGCCTGTGATTTGGCCTATACTTCTTCATTAAATGCGTGCAGGTGGTGAGCTAGCTGGCAAGCGCTGCACGTGGGAATGTCATTTTTGCAAGGGCTCTGCTGTGTCTGCGCCGTGGCCATCAATTTCCCATCTCTTCCGCAGGAGGCCTCGCTGGGCGTCGGTACCTCTGCGTCAGCCCTGCCCCAGCTCTGGGAAAGCCTCCTTGGCCTCCTGCCTGGCCAGAGGCCAGCGGGTCCCTGGACACTGGCCTGATCTCGAGGATACGAACCCCTTGGAGTGGGGCGTTCCCTCCTCTCTCCTGCCACAGCTGTCCCTTCCATCTGCAGGGAGAGTTTCTGATGTGGGGTCGCTTCCCTGCTGCCCTACTCTCTCCTGGTCCAGATGCTTGTATCCGGATCTCCTATATGATGGAAGCTGGCAGGACTGTTGGACCCCACACTCCAGCCAGGGCAGGGTGCACGCCCTCTACGTGGCTGCCACTGGCCTGGTCCTCGGTGGGTTAAAGCTGCCCAGGGACCTCTCCGGCCAGCTCTGCTGGGCTCACGGGGACTCACCACTCCTCCCATCAGTCCCACCACATCATGGCTGCCGAGCCTCCCATGGCTGGTTTGATGTGGCAGCCTGGCACATTTATCCCTTAGGGTGACATTTAAGTGATTTTTACTATAATTAGTCCCCAAAACATGAAAAATAAGTAATATTCAAACTTAATTCTCTCTGCCCTTTAGAAAAGAATGACACATAAAGTGCCGGAAAAGATGCTCACAGCTTTCAGGTTCTATCTGTCAAATGGTTATTTCTGTTGAGAATTAGGCCTGTGGCTAGTTGGGTGATTTTGGCCCTGGAGGCCCAGTGTGCACTCTGGCTAGACTGTGCCATCTGGCCTTGTTGAGGAGGGCCAAGGGGCTTTGGTGGGGCTGGCACCTGCACTCACTTCCTCCCAGACATCAAGGTGGCAGCAGCAGGCTCTCCCATGGGCTGGCTGGTGGCTGCTTGGTTCCTGTGGGAAGTGGAAAGGCTCGTGGCTGGTAGGCGAGGACTGGATAGGTGAGAGCAGAGCCCTGGGGCTGCCCACAGGGCAGCTGCCTTGTGTTCTCGTCGCCTGTGTCCCCTCCTCCCGCCACCTCTCTGGTTCCACATTGTTAAGACTTTGACCTCGGGCTGGGTACACGGAGACGTTCCCAGGTCTCAGGTCTGCTAGGTCTCTGCTGAGGCCTGACCACCAATACTCCTGAGCAGGGCAGGCAGGAACACGTTTCCTGGGGCATGCCTTGGCAAGGTAGCTTGGGTGAGCTGGGAGGGTTAGGATCTCGAACACGAGTGGAGGTGGAAAGGTCAGTGCCAGGGCAGAGTGGCTGAGATGTCCCTCTGTAGGGAGCATGGAGGCTGGCCTTGAAGGCATGTCCTTGGCACTTCCCAAAACTTTTGGGAGTCTGCTTTCGATGCCTCTCACAGCTGGAGGCGATAAAGTGACTGGGGACCAGAGGTGGGTTGGGGACCTGCCAAGGATGCAGGATTCTGTCTTGGAACTGGAGCCAGGGAACGTGGACGTGGTGATGACGCTGCTGGCCCTGCCACTTACCTTTCTGGCATGTGCTTTTGTGCATGGCTACGGGGTCAACTCAGTGCTGACAGGGTCACCGCCTGGTAGCCCAGGGTCAGCGAGCTCTGTGCGGGGAGCCCCGGGCCTGGGGCCTCCAGCATCCAGGGGAGGTGCTTCTTGTCAGTTCCTTCCCCGTGGCTGCTCCAGCGGTGCTAATAGAGGCGCCAGACTTTGGCCATTTACCTTCTGAGTTCAGTCTCAGATGTGGAAAGTAATGCTACTGGATTGTTCAAATTTAATTAATAGCAGGGCCTTGACACTCAGTGCCCACTTCAGAGGAACAGAAAGGGAGATAAAGCAGAGGGTTCCAGGGCCCAGAACAGCCCGGTGCAGTGAGACTGTCGTCTCCTCGGCTGGCTTGCCACGTGTGGCTGTGCATTCCCTGCTGCTGATCCCCGAGGCCCACCCATCCCTCCAGTCTGTGCCCTGTGCTTCCCGGCCACAGTCTGTCTGGGATGCTTGTTTGGGTTGGGTGGAGAGGGAAGGTGGTGCAGGACTCAGAGAGGCGACTGGGATTCTGTGTCCTAGGCAGCGATGCTGCTCCTTGGTGTCTCAAAGGCACGTGGGGCTCACTCTTCCAGGGGGTCATCTCTGAGTCCCTAAGTACTCTCCTTCCCCTGTCCCCTCTGGGCCTCCCCAGTCACAGTGTCCTTGGCATCCCACCCCCTGTCATCTGCTCACCCTTGAGAAGCCGGGAAGCACAATCTGGAAACCATCTGCTGTTTTCCCCTGAGGCCTCTTTCGGATCTAACACTTGGTGACTAGAATACCGTGCGATCACAGGCAGGATGGGGGTAACCCCCGTGCTGATGCCCAGGCGTGGGACGGCGCGGACGCGTGTGTGTGCGTCATGAGACTTGGCTCATAACACGCTCCCCCCATGCTGCTAGTGCTCCTTCTCTGTGAGCTCCGTCACCAGCAGTGGCATTGACTCCTCTGCTGACCAAGAGGCTGAGGGTGGGGGGGTGTTGCTTGCTGGACTGGCTGGACCCCTGTCCAGGGCAGCCCTTTGTGAGCTGGGCAAGAGCTGCCCAGCCTCCTCCGCCCTGTGTCTGTCTTCTCACCGGCTCATTTTTCAGGGATGATGTGTAAGCTCGAGTGTTTCTCATCGCAGTGAGTAATACTGACATTGACTTCTTTAAAATGCTAATTTTTAAACTTTCCTCTGAAGAGGCTCCGAGGGGGCCTGGGAGGCAGCTTGCTTCGTGCCCCGAAGGTTGGGGCCTGCTGGCTGGTTTTCCACTGGGCTCGCCCTGGCAGTGGAGGCAGAAAGTTTGTCTGCAGCTGCTTGCCGCAGGTGGCCAGGGGCGCGAACTTGAACTCGGAGGAGGAGCGGGATCAGCTGGGGGAGGTCTAGAGAGGCAGGTGTGGTTTGGTCCCCTCTCCGTGGCCCAGTGCCCTTTGCCCCTGAGTTTGTGTTGGGCAGGCCCGCTTGGCACGAGGTGCCAGCCTGGGCAGGGATGGGCCCAGGGCTTCATGGCCTGGGGTTATGGGTGGAAAGGCAGCCTGTGCCAAGCAGTGGCCAAATCCTGACCCTGGCATTCCTTGTGCTTTCCTTTGAGGATCCACTCCAAGGAGCACTTCAAGGAGAAGTATGCCGTGGATGACGTCCAGTACACAGACGAGGTCAGCAGCGGCCGACTCCTCCTCTCTGAGCAGCTCAGGGCTTCGGGTCACCTCTCTGCTCTGGATTCCCTCTTCTCCCACTGCCACAGCTTGGCTGGACGTCATAGGACGCCACCGCCTGGCCACCAGCACCCCCAGCAGTGCCCTTGTTGGGAGTGAGCAGGCAGGAAACATTTACCTTGGACCTCCCCGGGGAAGCCCCTCCTCTGCCTGGCCAGTGCCCCTGATTCAGTGGCTGGAAGTGTCTGGTGCCTGGGTTGTGGCCACTGAGCTGCACAGGTGAGGGCGTCTCTGGAAGGGTCTGATTGAAGTGCCCCCCCCAGGCTCTGCCTGGGCCTTCATGTGTCAGGAGGCCCTCCCAACAGGCCCTCGTCAGCTGCAGATGCCACTGTCACAAAATCCCCAGACTACGAGAGGCCCTTGGAGTGGGGTGGGTGGAGGTCCCCTGGCTTTAGTCCACTTCCTAGCGTGGTTGCCCAGTGGGGTCATGTGGCCTGGGTAGGTGTGTGACTGTCCTCCTGGGGTTTTGAATCCGTCCCGCATCCAGGAGTCGAAAGGGCCTGCCACTGTGGAGAGCTGAGAGCACAGCTGTGTACCCCTGTGGTCTCCCTGGGGATCAAGGCCCCCCAACACTGCAGCCACTGCCAGGCACGCAGGCGGCCTCTCTGCTCTGTCCCTGGGTGTTGTTACAATCCCTGTGCTCTGTGCAGGTCAGTGCTGGGTGGAACATAAACACCAAGAGGTTGGTGCCTGCTGCTCGAGGTTCAGCCCCGGCCTTGCAGGATCAGCTGGATGAGGTCCTCCTGTGCCACATTTCCCCAGACAGGGGTTGCCTGTGGATGCACCCTAAGAGCTGAGGGTGCAGTGTGGAAGCGGCCAGAGGAGCCAGCCAGCTGGAGGCCAGCAGCTGCCTTCCCCTGGCGGGACACAGGCTGCATTGGGGACGACAGTACTGGGTGAGGGGCAGCTTCCCTGGATCCTGGCCAGAGCCACATCGCTGTGAGGAGCCAGCATGTCTCGGCCTGGAGTCGGGGGTCCCCCTGGTTTTCTGGGGGACAGACAGCTCACCTTGATAAACACATGAGCCCGGCCCCAGGCAGGCGAGCATCAGCACCACCCTGTGTACAGGCAGCGCTGCTCCACTTCTGCTGACCTGGAATGCCATGCCCGCTTCTCTGACTGCCTGTGTCCTACCCGTCTGCCAAGGCCTTATGCCACCCCACCACCTGCCCCCCAACTCCGGTCCCCACTGACACCACTTCCCTGGCTCTTGGGACCGGTTGTGGACATGGTGGACACTGGCTGTACCCTGTCTGTACTCTGCCGTTTGCCGTCTTGTATTTGTCACTAAGGCCTGGGTGTTTTTCCCAGACGTTACTCTCATGCTGCCTGCCTGCCAGGGATGTGTGGTCCCAGGGATGTCTGGTCCCAGGGATGTGTGGTCCCAGGGATGTGTGGGCAGCAGAGCTGGTTGAGAGCCAGGGGGATAGTCTGGTGCAGAAGGTGACCGCATGGGTGAATGGTTGTCACAGCGTGGTGGTGCCCAGTCGGGAGGGCGGCGGTGGAGGAGAGCAGCTCACATCCACAGGGCCATGGTGCCTGCTTCTGCAGCCCCTCCCACCTGGTTGGATTGTGGAGAGGGGGGCTTTGGATGGATCTTTATTTTGTGTCATGTGATTTCAAAACCAAGCTTTGGGGGTGACTCGTAGCATCTAAACAGTCTGTTAATACACATGTGACCTGCTGTATTGATCTGTTTGGATATAGGATCTCAAATAGTCTGATCGTTTATTTGCATGCCCCAGGGAGGTCATTTGCCACGTGCCTTGTATTTCTGAGTCCCAGTGAGGGAGGGACCTGCTCATCCGCAGCTCTCCTTTGGTTCCTGACCGTCTCCTCTGGCAGCTGTATCCTTCCTGCCTCCATCAACTGCACTAACATTATTACCCTTTGAGACCTTGACCTTCCAGGTCTCCTTGGTGAAACCTGGCGGGGGCAGCCTGGGCTGGGCCCTGGGGCACGTGCTCGCCTCACCAGGACTTGGCCCACTGAGTCAGAGCACCTCTGTGCTGCAGCCTCCCCAGCTGCAGTCTGACAGTTTTGCTTTGGTGACTGGGGGAAACTCAGCTCTATTTATACTGTGATTTCTAGGGAGAAAGAGAGCTGGCCTCCACACGCAGTGAAACAGAGGAGGTCTTGAGTGTCAGAACAGAAAGCCCGTAATGATGGTGTCAAATGACAACCCCACAGACGAGCTCCTTCTCAGTCTGTGTTTATGAAGCAGGATCTTAAACGAAGGCTTCAGTGAGTTCAGAGGACAGACTCTCTTTCGGGTTCAGGAGCTTTCTGCTGTGCCCCATCATCGTCATTAATCAGTCTTGTCATGGTTCTTATTGGAAATGGGGGCTCCTGTTGATGGTGTGATAGGTTCTTTCCTCTGGGATGGCACCTGCGGGTTCCAGAGACATCGACAGCTCACAGGGACCCCCTCATCCCTCCCGCCCTGTCCCGTGGTGGGCCTCAGCTCTCGCCCCGTCACAGAGGAGGGCCGAGGCTCAGAGAGGTGAAGGGCCTCATCCACGGCCCCACAGCCGGGAGTAGCAGAGTTGGGCTGCGACCCCGAAACCTTTGGGCCCCAGAGGGCCTGCCCTCCCACTCTGCACTTGCCCTGTCAGATACGAGCTGGTGCTGTGGGACACCCCTGTGGAGTGACCCAGCTCTCAAGTGCCTTGGATTTTCTGTAGCTCGAGAAGGAGCCTGACCAAAATACAGACTGCTGGACCACAACACCTGGGCTGGGAGGCGCTGGAGATGCCTGGGGCCTACTCCCTCTTGGAAGGTGACGGGAAGGGCTCCCAGGCCAGTTCTGCGGTGCTCGGCCCCCTCGAACTTCGAGCAGCCTTGCCCATCATGACAAATCACAGACGGGAAGCAGCTGATAGTGTCTCCTCTGAAAGGAGGCAGGAAGGCCCCACCCAGGCCACGGCTGGTCACTAGATATCACCTGTAAGATGCCACTGTCTGATGTAGCAAACCTGGCTCTCTCGTTTCCTCCTCCTCGTGGGTGATCCTGAGTTCACTACTCAGAAGGTAGACTGGGGGCTGGCTACCCGGGAAGGGGGCGCTTGGGAGGAGCTTGAGAGCTGCTTCCAGGCATTGCCAATAAGGCGCAGTGCACAGGCTGGTCTTCGTTACAGGTGGGAGCTGGCCGGTGAAGAACGTTCCATGCACTTCCTCTCCTTCATGGCACCGGGCAGATGCTGGAGGTGCCGGGGTCGCTGGCTCAGACGCAGGCAGCATGGATGTAAGAGAAATCGTTGTGGCACAGGGATGGATGCCGCCACCTCCCAGCCTCGGCGTGGAGAGGCATCGGGGAGTGGTGGGGTCTGTGATGGAACCTCTGAAGGGACAGCCGCTACGTGGGACTGCTGGCCCAGGGTTGCTCGATACTCTGATTATTCAGGAGTAGCTGCAAATCCATATTGTTTGTGATCTTTCCTGATGTTTAAGTTTCAGAAACAAGGTCAGATTTTGAAACACATTGCTGGCCACCAGCATACACCCTTGTTTCAGGATGCAGGAAAAAAAGTTCATTTTGAAAAGCTTTGGGGCTTGCAGGGTGAAGCCCAGCTCTTGCAGTAGTGCATGCTCTCCTGACAGCGCTGGTCAAGGGTTGTCCAGCCTCTTTCTCTGGATCATCACCCATGAAGAGTGGTCTGCAGGCTGGTCATGGCACTGGGCATGAGGGTGCCTGAGGTGTCCCCAGGGAAGGACCTTTGTCTATGGGGCACTGATAAATTCTGTGTGTGCCATCCACCTCCACCCGCCAGAGAGGCCAGGCTTCCCGAGAAATCGATGCTGCCGTGGCGTTAAGCAAGGCAGGGGCTTCTAATGGTGCTGGTTTGTGAGAGCTGATGGGTCCCTGGTGACCACGCTTTGTAGAAGTAAGGCCCTATGTTGACAGAGCTGTGCTGTCCTGTGCACCAGGGCTGCATTTTGAGCTGGGCACACACAGCCATACCATGTCCCCTCTACTTCTGAGGCAAGAACCAGGGTTTGCTGATGAGAATGTGGTTCTAACGGGCCTCCGTGGGGAAGGGCGGCTGGAGCTGCCAGGCTGGGGAGCGTCTGCAGCCGCAGAGGTAACCAGGCCCACTCAAGCGACTGATCAATAAAAGATGTTGCCCTGCCAGGACTAGCAGGTACCCGGCTGCCTCTGGGTCAGGCCTCCACCTGTCTGCCTGTCCAGCAGCACTGGCAGGGCTGCCTCCTCCTGCATTATTCCTAACCAGCACGTCCTAAGCCGTTGCAGAGAGAAAACCATCAGCCCGCACATTTGTTATCCTCTCCTCTCCCAAGGACAGTAGCACATACAGTCCCCGAGTGTGTGTGCGCTCTCTTCGTGGCCGCCGGAATTGATGGATCGTTCTGTGCTGATGAATGTAGACCCTTCACGTCCACGGAACAACCTCCCTGGGCCCAGCACATGTGTCTCTTTCCTTTTAATGAGCCTCCCACTCCAGGGCCTGGGGGAGTGGCCAGGACTCAGCCGAGCAACACAGAGACCCAGGAATTCAGTGGTTCTCAAAGCAGTTACGGAGTGAGTGCGGCTGGTCCGGGAGATGGAGCCTCAGGCACGGCTGGTGGGAGGTGGCTAGTACACCTGGAGGGATGTCTGGCAGGAGCATCAAAAACCGTGACAGAGGATATGGTTTTTCACCCAGCAGTTTCAGAGTTTTTTCTTTTTTTAAAGAAAATAAATTTTTATCGTAAGGAATTTATCATAAGGAAATGAAGACTTGCATAAGCTCATTCGTCACGGCATTATTTGTAATAGTTAAGTCACTAGAGAGAATTTGTGTCCAGTAGAGGAATGAATAAATCAGTTATGCTGTATCTGTATATCGTTGAAAAGAGACAGCCATGGGTTCCACTCTGGGCCTTGCTCCTCTTCAGCTGTGAACCTGGGCAAATTGCGTAACCCAGAAGCTTTCTCACTGCTGAAATCTGGACCTTTGTAGCCCTGACTTCGTGGGTAGTTAAATGGGATGACATCTGAAGTGACTGGCACAGGCCATCGTCAAAGGTTCATTGGGCGTTTACCATCCTGGTGGTAGTGACTGGTAAAAATGGCATGTTTGAAGGATATTTAATGGCAGGAAGTAGGTAGAGTGTATAACTTCACATGATGCAGATGTCGTTCCAGATCTCTGTTTTTGTCTGCAGAGATAAAGCCTCAGGTTGGGATCGTAGGTATATTTTCTCTTTTTACAGTTTTCCATATCTTTCAGGTTTTTCTCTGAGAGTCTCTCGGTATTAAAAAGCATGTATGTACATGTATGTGAAAACTTATCAAAATGTGCACTTTAAGTCTGTGCAGTGTGGAGCATGTCGGTGATGGCTCGATGAAGCTGTTAACGCAGCCAGCTGCAGATCCCCCCCCCTCGCCTGTGTCGGGGTGTTAAAGAGTTTAGGGTGCACTGGGGGCGGGCACGGGCTGCAGAGAGGAGACTGTTCGCTGGCCCAGGGGGCTCAAATGCAGTAGGGGCTGCGGTAGCCAAGGTGCAGGACGGTCGGAGGGGTAGGGACCGGGAGAGGAAGGAGTGTGGCCACCAGGGTGGTTGGCTCCCATTGGTGCAGATGTCATGGTTCCTGCATGTGACACTTTGCCAAGGGAGTGATGGCTGTCAGCAGGGCAATAGAGGAGAGAGTGGATGAGCTTGCCTGGTGGCCAGGGCCTCGATCCCGAGTACGAATTGAAGTGGCTAAGATGAGGAGAAGGCGTTCCAGGCAGAGGTGAGAGCCTGAGCAAAGGGCACGCTCAGTGAAGGGGTTGGGGAGGAAGCAGCCAGCATGCGGGGGTGTGGGGCCTGAGGGGGCCGCTGTGGAGGGATGGAGAGTGGGGAGGTAGGGTAGGGGCCTGAGGGTGGGATTGGGGACAGCCAGCTGTACACAGTCTAGGACGTGAATGGAGGCGGGGAGGAAGGTGTCTGCTCTGGAGACGGGAGGCTGGTGAGGCCTGTGTCTGAGAGGTTGCTGGAATGAGTCTTCGGTAGGAACGTGGCAGGGACAACAAGGCAGACTGACCTTGGAGGGTGGGCGGGTCTGGCTGTTCGGATCCCAAGATCTTGTGGGGCCTGGAGGCCGGGCAGCATGCCCACATGGGTGGGCCATGTTCATGAGGGTGCCAGGTTCAGGTTTGAATCCCTCTCTGAGCCTGGGGAGTTGTGTGGCTTTCAGAAGTCCCTTATCCTCTGTAAGCCTCAGTTTCCCCATATGCAGGATGGGGACAACAACAGCCCTGCCTGTTTTAAGGATCCGCTCGATAATCGCTTCTTAATGCTTGCTCTGAAGTGGATTTTTCTCTCCGACCTTTCAGATTGCCAGTGTCCTGACATCGCAGAGCCCCTCTGTCCTCCTCACCTTGGTAAGTGGCTGGTGTCCAGGGACCTGGGCATGTTTGGGTGTGGGGAGGGCTTTTAGGGAGCTGCCTGCCCCTGCAGAGGTCGCCCCATAGGGAGGATTGGGAGACCGAGAGGAGCGGTCATTGGTGATAAGCAGTGACACCTTCTCAGTCTGAACGTGTCCAGGACCATGTCCTGGATTCTCCAGTCTCTCTGGGATGAGCTGTGTCCTGTCCTGGTGCCACAGTGGACAAGACACCACACCTACCCCAAGGGTTAAAACCTGGGGGATGTATTCATGTCAGGCTGAGCTCATGGCATTTGTGAATGTAGAGTGTCAGTTATCAATTTGCTTTTACCCTGTGTCTCCTCCATTGTTAATAGGATTTGAAAAGCACACCCTTGGCTTCTGCCCGGGAGCTTGCTGGGCTGTGTGGCGTCGGATTTTGAAGCTGGGGCACTGAGTGACCAGGGCCTGCCGCAGCCTGGGGCAGGCGGGGCGCTTGGTAGGCCCTCGGGCTGTGAAAAGCTTGGAGAAGAAGCCTGCTTTCTTGACCTTCAGTGGCCTTGGGGGCTTCCAATGTGAAGCATTTACAAGCGTCTTCCCTCCCAAAGTCACCCTTCTCTTCTTTGCTAATCGATTTTTACAGAAATAGTTTTTCTTGGTTATTTTTTTTTTGGCACTTCACGTGGCCTCTCTCTTCCTCTCTGCTGTTTTGATGGCTGAACAGGAAGGTTATGTTAGATGATTGTGGTCACAGATGGTCCCGTGTGTTTTGTTTGGGGGATACAATTAGACATCGACCTCACATTCCGGAGGAAGAAAGGCCAATTTAAAATGCCCTGCCTCTCTGGGGATGGCACATTTTTCTCTGAATCCCTTGCTTTGTCCCCATTCCTATCCGAGTTCCACTTGCAGTCTCCTTACAACTAGGGAAAGGAGAAGAGTGTAACACAGGGTCCTGGTGTCACCAGGAAAGGCCCCTCCTGCCCGAGCCGGGTCCTTCTGCGCCCTGGAAGGGCTGGGTTTGACGGTGCTCTTCAGGACACCGTCAGCGGGGAGGTGTGCACGTGTGCGTGAGAGATGGGCCAGCCAGGGAGAGCACAGGGTGGGGCTGCCTGTGCGCGGGCAGCCTGAGCTGATGTCCGCAGAGTGCTCTGAGGCCGGAGGCCTTGCTCTCCCTGCTTTTCAAGCTGCGACGGGAGAGGAGGGCCTGCTTTTGTGCTGGGGCCCAGCTTCAAGTTACCTGAAAGGCAGGAAGGGATGCGTTGGCCTGGCTGGGGTGGGGGCTCCTGATTCTTCCCCGGTCCTGAGCCTGGCTGGAGGAGGCAGGCCCTCCCATGCAGGCCATGGGGACGCCTTGTGGCCCCATGTCACTCATCTGTGCCCTCACCTCCCACTCTCTCCCCAGCGCGGCGTCAACACCGACAGTGGCAGTATCTGCAGGGAGGCCTCCTTCGAGGGCATCAGCAAGTGAGTCCTGGGGCCCCGGGGACTGTCTTTCTCCATCCTCCACCTGCTGACATCTTCACCAACAGGCCTTGCCCAGTCTGCACACTAAACACGACATACACAAACAGGAGGACGCTGAAAAGGAGTTAGATTGGGCATTTCGAGGAAATGTTTGGAAAATAAATTGCCTAAATTCTCTTCAACCTTTACGTTAAGGAACAGGTGCCACTTCTCTGTCGAGCTCCATAATGAAAGTGCAGGCCTCTCCCAGTGTGCAGGGAGCCCTGACCATTGTGCACGCACAGGCGGCCACTGTCGTCCCTCTGGAGACCTGCTCTGAGCTCGGTGCTCTTTGTTTTTATCAGTCCTAGCCCCAACCTCTCCCAGCCCACTCGCAGCAGCTCTCCTGTGTGCCCTGCTGCCCCAGCCCCAGATACGGGCTCCCTTACCTGCCCTCACTCCCCAGTTTAGCTCCAGGCCAAGACCCAAACCCCGTTCCCCCTTCTCGGCCTCTCCAGACAGAGGGCAGCTGTTGGGCCCAGGGAAAGCGGGCCCTCACCCTCCTTGGCCCCTCACACCCTGACCCCTGGAGAGTGCTGCCTGCCAGCCATTGCCTGTGTCCCTAGGCTGCCTGGCGACTGGCCCTGGGGGTCTCTGTGGCCTGGAAGCTGCAGGGGCCATCTGCTCCTCTGGTCTGCCAGCAGGGCAGCCCCCAGCCCCTCCCCCCATGGTTCCTCTGCACACCATGACCTCTGTTGTCCTTTGCTGGACCGAGGCAGTGGCAGAGGAAGCGTCTTATAATTATGTATGAGCCTAAGCCACGGGAGTTTGTGGGTATGCGTGATGTAGGGGTGATTAGGGAGGATTATGCGCTCATAAATATGTATCAGTTCCCCAGTGGTAAGAGTGGTGGAGTAGGGGGAGCGGGTGTCAGGTGTGCTGCTTTTCTTTGCACGAATCCCCCCATCCTCTTGGGAGTTTCTCGGAGCGGCGACGCCTCCCACGCGGGCAATGATTAGCCCAGCCCCGCTTGTTGAAATGCTGGCCACGGAGCCGCTGTCTTTCCTTTGCGGGGGTGGGGCGGGGCACAGCCAGCCCGCTGCTCCCCGTCCTGGGCCAGCCTCCCCTGGGCTCCCCAGCACTGCCAGGTGTGGGTGCCAGCGCTCTGGTGCCCTGCTCACCTGCCTCCACTATCACCACAGAGTGTCTATACTGTCTCTGTTCTATGGCCAGGCCCTCCTCCCATGAGGAGGGCCCTGAGCTGGGAGGAGGGAGCTGCCACACTGACTGGTTCTGTGACCTCTGCAGAAATGGCCCTCTGAGCCTCGGCTCCCCACCTGTAGCATAGTGCTGCTTGGGCTTGTCTGAGGATGAAACGAGACCTGCTCCTCTGGAGCCTGGCGTGGAGCTGGTGCTCAGTAAACAGTTGCGCACAAGCACACCTCTGTCAAGCTCCGATGCCCCTCTAGGGCTCAGTCTCCCCGTCTGTGCAGTGGGCCAGGTGGGCTCCAGGATCACTGATGATAAGATTCCCGGACGTCAGTGAGCTGTGGGGCTTCTCGGCTGTGGGGTCTTTGCTTGCCCGCTCCAAAAGTCTCTGCTCTAGAGAAGACCTCCTCAGCACCCTGGGGACAGGTCCAGCCATGGTATGGTGGGTGTGCTTCCTGGATGGGAGCTCAGGATGTGGCCCCTGAGAGCAGAGCTCTGCTGCCCTCTCCCTAAGGTTTCCTGGAGAGAGGTGGGGGTGGGGGCCCCAGGACGTCATCGCTGTCAGTGGGCGGTGAAACTGAGGCCTCACCCTACTCCCTGGGAGGAGTCCTTCTGTGAACTGACCTCCCCCCCACTCAGCAGACCCTGGCCTCTTGAGTCCCCAGGGCCGCTGCCAGGAGCCCGGAGGATCCTGTGCTTGGCTGAACCCCCACCCCACCTGGCCAGCCTTGGGGGGCTTTCTAGGACAGCCGGGGACTGCTTAACTTGGCACACTCTCCCCGGGCACGAGGCTAGTCCCCCTCCAGCCCATGGTCCAGTCCAGACTGGGACTGACTGGGGGGTGCTCCCCAGGCCCCTCACCGCTGGGCTGGCCCAAGAGCTGCCCTCCAGGCAGGAGCTGGGGGATTCCTGTCCAGCCCCCGTGTCGGCTGGGTTTGCTGACTTGGCTGCAGTGCTGCAGGTGTGTCCTTCCCCTGTGTCTCTGCTTCGGGGTCCCCGGGCCTGCCTGTGGTACTGCCTTCCCTCCTGTCCCCCCGGAGGCTCGTCCCTCCGACCTCCCTTGAGCCTGACATCCCCTGTGGCACCTTCATGTGGCTCCGCCCTCAGGGGTGGCTCCGCCCTCAGGGGTGGCTCCATTTGGGGGCCCCCACCCTGCAAGCTGTAGGCACTGGCCTCAGGCCCCCTGCCTGCCCTGCCCTTTGGAAAGTGATGTCTGTATTCCTGGGGTCTGGGTGCAGCTCAGCCCCCTGCCTGCCACCCACCCCGCTGCCAGCACCTCCGCCCTGCCACCTTCTGCCTTCTGTGCCTGGCTGGGGAGGCCCTTGTCCTGGAGGGCAGTTGTGGCTCAGCGACCTCGTTCGCGGGCCTGCTGTGAGCGTCTCCTGCTGTTTGCTGGGGATAGTAAGAGCCTGGTTCCTAAGTAAGATGAATCTTGCTGTCATCCTCCTTTCCACTGCTCAGCTGCTTCCGTCACTGGTCGCTTCTCACTGCCCTAATGAAGCGACTTCCTCCTGGAATCTGTGTTTTTGACACTTTCAGCTTCTCTGAAACCCCTCCCGTCTTGGATCCATGACTGACCCACGTTGGCAGAAGTTCAGGTTTGGACTCTGCGTTTGTCCCGATGGGCCCTCCCAGGCTGCCTTTATCCTTGGCCTGGCGGGGATGCAGCTTGTGGTAGAACAGTGGCCTCATCTGTGCTCCTGTGCCAGAGCCTCCAGGCCCTGTCCAGCTGGGCAGCTGGCCTGTGACCTCTCCAGGTGTGGTTCCTTGGGGTGGCTGCCTCAGGTCTGTTGCCTTGGTGGGGCTGTGGGTTTGGTGCTGGGAGACCTCAGCCTTCCCAGAGCAGCACCAGGCCGCCTGCTGCCCACGGCAGGGAGTGTGCCAGGTCTCACAATGGTGGGGACAGTAAAGGACCCGGAGCAGAGGGAACAGGGAGGCAGAGGCCGGGTGGGGGTGGTAGACATGCACTGGGATGTCCCATGGTCTGGGGCCCCTGGGCTCACCAAGGGTTGTGGCCTCACCCTCCCTGGGGAATCATGGGTGTGATGATGATGGGGTGAAGGGCGCAAGTGGGGACAGGGCGTTGGGCCTCGTGTTGAGTTTGGGCTGTGACCACAGCTCCATGTTTGGCGGGATTGTAGCAAGGCACCCCGCAGGGAAGGTGTGGAATCAGCAGGCCTGCCCGTGGTCTCTGGCCAGAGGACAGGGTCAGGTGTGCATTGCCACGTCCTGGGGAGGCTTGGCCGGGGTGGGCTGGGGCTGGGGCTAAGCGAGGCTGCGATGAGGCTAGCTCCACCCTAAAGAGGACGCGAGGCGTCTGCCTGCGGGCGGTGGGCATCACCGCTGCCTGGAGCAGTTGGTTCCTGCAGCCTGGGACCAAAGTCAGACACGGTAAATCTTTGTTAGCATCTGAGGAGGTCGAACAGATTTTCCTGAGAGAGAGAGACTGACCATGAAGGGAAAGAGCTGGTCTGTGGGGGGCCAAGTGGCCTATGGGGGTAGCTTCCTGGCCTGAGACAGTTCCCTCCAAGGCGGGTGGAGTCTGTGCCCAGGGCCCTGGGGGGTGGGGGGCAGGGAGTACAGAGGGCTGTGTTCCATGACTTCTGACAGAGAAATACGGTCGATCTTCTACGTCAGCTGGTTATTCAGAATAAGCGTATTTCTTATCTTTTGGCATTTACTTAAATTGCCTTGCATATTTGAAGACAATTGGTTACATATTAATTCCATTTAAATAAGCAGTTAAATATGAAATTGCTGAATTTGGGGATTATTAATGCAAAAATATTAATATTCATAGATGTGAATTTTTAAACCCAGTAAGTAGAGGGACATTATTAAAACCTGATGATTACAACAGAATGCCAGTCTGTGGTGTGGGGACCAGGGCTTTCTGGTTAGTGTTAACTTAGGTATCAAGTTAATATTTAGGGTTGAACTTCTAATTGTGGCCCATGGAATCTTCACGAGCAAGGGTTCCTGAAGGGACAGGAACTGCCCCAGCCCCCCCGAAGGGCCAGCCTCACCTCCCTCTGTGGGTGAGAACCTGCAGGGAAGAGGCCGGGGGCGGGGTGGGGCAGGGCGGGGGATGGGTGAGCCCACACTACTCACCTTTCATCCGCCAGCCCGCAGGTGGAGCCCACCGGGGAACCATCCTCTGCTTTCAGGACGCTCCCCACCCTCACAGGCTCTGGTGGGCTGTATTGTCATACACTTATTACACGCTCGTTGTAGAGAACAGCAGCACAGAGGTGAAAGCAAGGAATATCCAAATTTCATTACCTTGAGTTAAATCTTGTCCACGTGGGGAATGTCTTTTGGATGCTTCTGTGTGTGTCTGAGTGTGTTTCTCTGAGTGTTTTTGTGTCTGAGTGTGCATTTGTGTGCGTCTTTGTCTTTCTGTACGTGTGTATATTTGGTTGTGGATCTTTGTGTGTTAGTCTAAGTGTATGCCTGTCTGGGTGTGTTTGTATGTCTGTGTGCGTCTACATGTCGCTGAGTTATGTGTGTCTGACTGTGTTTTTGTGTGTATGTGTGTGTCTGTGAATACACATCTGTGTGCATCTGTTTTGTTTCTGAGTGTGTTCTGTTGTACACACGTCTGTGTGTGTGTGCCTCTTTTCTAAGTGTGTGCCTGCCTGTGTGTGTCTGTGTATTTCTCATCTGTGTCTGTGTGCTGGGTCATTTTGCTGCTCGTGCATGCGTGGGTGCATGTGTGTATTCATACGTACATTGTGTAAAGTGAAAGTTTACTGGCGTGTTCGGCTGCCTAGGAGATAGGCCGTTGCATTTCCTAACGTCAAAGCGACATT